AAAGTGAAGTGGAGTAGAATAGAAGAAAGTGGAGTGAAATAGAAATGGAGTGAAATAGAATCGAGTGGAGTAAAACAGAATAAAGTGGAGTAAAACAGAAGAAAGTGGAGTAAAACAACAAAGTGAAGTGGAGTGAAATAGAAGAAAGTGGAGTGAAATAGAAATGGAGTGAAATAGAATCGAGTGGAGTAAAACAGAATAAAGTGGAGTAAAACAGAAGAAAGTGGAGTAAAACAACAAAGTGAAGTGGAGTAGAATAGAAGAAAGTGGAGTGAAATAGCAGAAAGTGGAGTGAAACAGAAGAAAGTGGAGTGAAATAGGAAAAAGTGGAGTGGAATAGAATGGAGTGGAGTAAAACAGAATAAAGTGGAGTAGAATAGAAGAAAGTGGAGTGGAATGGAAAAAAGTGAAGTAAAATAGAAGGAAGTGCAGTAGAATAGAATGGAGTGGAGTAAAATAGAAGAAAGTGGAGTAAAACAGAAGAAAGTGGGAGTAAAACAATAAAGTGAAGTGGAGTAGAATAGAAGAAAGTGGAGTGAAATAGAAATGGAGTGAAATAGAAATGGAGTGAAATAGAATCGAGTGGAGTAAAACAGAAGAAAGTGGAGTAAAACAACAAAGTGAAGTGGAGTAGAATAGAAGAAAGTGGAGTGAAATAGAAGAAAGTGGGAGTAAAACAACAAAGTGGAGTAGAATAGAATAAAGTGGAGTGGAATGGAAAAAAGTGGAGTAAAGTAGAACAAAGAGAAGTGAAATAGAACAAAATGGGGTAAAATAGAACAAAGGGGAGTGAAACAACAACGTGGAGTAAAATAGAAAAAGTGGAGTAAAATAGAAGAAAGTGGAGTAAAATAGAAGAAAATGGAGTAAAATAGAAGAAAGTGAAGTAAAACAGCAAAGTGAAGTGGAGTAAAATAGAAGAAAATGGAATAAAATAGAAAAAAGTGGAGTAAAATAGAAGAAATATTAAAATAAAAATAGTAAAATAGAAGAAAATGGAGTAAAATAGAAGAAAGTGAAGTAAAACAGCAAAGTGAAGTGGAGTAAAATAGAAGAAAATGGAATAAAATAGAAAAAAGTGGAGTAAAATAGAAGAAATATTAAAATAAATAAAAAATAG